TAAAACCATGCACACAAAACTTTAATCAATACAAATGAATGGCTAAATGGTACTTATAAGAAAACTTTTATTCAGAAATTTTAAAAAGCTTTAAGTCTATAATCCTTGTAAGAGCTGACAATAATTACCAAAATAATGCTCTCCCTTTGCACTGTCTTAGCAATTGAAATCAGCAGCATATTTCTAAATATTTAGGAAATGAGATAGTATAGTCTTAGAAAAAAAATCTCTCAAACTTCTAGAGTTCTCCATTCCTTGCTAGACTACTCCACTGGACAAAATTAGTTGTATGTGTTTGTAGAGATCAAAAGATACATAGAAACAAATGAGAATGAAAATACAATATATCAAAATTTGGGGGATACAGCCAAAGTGGGAAGTTTATATCATTACAGGACTATCTCAAGAAACAAGAAAAATCCCAAATAAACAACCTAACATTGCATCTTAAAGAGCCAGAAAAAGACAAATGAAGCCCAAAGTCAGCAGAAGGAAATAAATATATATGATTTTTTAAAATTTTAAATTGTGGTAAAATACATATACAAAATTTACCATCTTAAACCATTTTAAGTGTACAATTCAGTATTGTTAAATACATTCACACTGTGTACAACCAATGTCCAGAACTTTTTCATCTTGCAAAACTGAAGCTTTATACACATTAAACAATAGCTTCCCATTTCCCCGTTCCTCCAGTCTCTGGGCATCACTATTTTATCTTCTGTCTATGATTCTGACTGCTTTAGAAACCTCATATAAGTGGAATCATAACAGTATTTGCCTTTTCATGACTGATTTATTTCACTTAGCAAAATGTCTTCAAGGTTCCGTTCATGTTGTAACATGTGTCTGAATGTCCCTCCTTTTTAAAGATGAATAACATCCCACTGTGTGTATATACCACATTTTGTTTATTCATCCATCAATGGAACCTTGGGTTGCTCGTACCTTTTTGTTGTCAATAGTAATGCTGCTATGAATGAACATGTAAATTAAATGATACATCAAAAGTTCATATTACCAGAATTATTCAAATAATACATCGAAAGTTCATATTAACAGAATTATTCATATGAAAGGTAAGAAAAATATAAAGTCAAGGAAAATAAATTTATCACTTGGTTTTTTAATAAAGCGTGCTTTCAGTGAAATGATAGACAGAAAATAGCCAAAGCTCAGTTATTTATTTGAATTGTCACTAAGTTCTATTTCTTTCACAATTAGTTTTAAAAGTCTACCAGGTTAATTAAACAATAATTAATTTTGGTACCTAAAATTAATACATATCAAGAACTTATCATCCAGGAACTCCAGAAGTATTTTCCATAGTAAATACTCAAATCATTTTATAGAAAGCCTAAAATGATGCCTAATGTCTTTTCATGAAGCATCCTTATTATTGGGCTGTTGGGAAAGTCATGTCGCATTTTTCAACGAAAGACATAGAAAAAATACGTCATGACTTTTCCAACAACCCAAAATTTCATTGGCTGATTCACATTTTTCTCAAGCTCCATCTTTCAAAGAGAAAACATACTATACCTGTTTTTGACAAGCATTTAATCACAAATCAATGAAAGCTACTTAAAGGTTTAAAATATCAAGAATGAGGAACTATTAAGTCTTGTACAATAGTAAGTAAAAGCTTTTCTATTTAGACAAAGGTACTCACGAAATGAACATAATACACAGATGCACATGTCAGAGCACTTTCTTCATCTCCTAGTTAATAATATGTTATTATGTGTCAATAATCCTAAAACCTTAAATTATATGTTATAACATTCAGCTTCCATACCAAAGTGGCACAATTGTGGGGCATTAGATATGCTACCTTCTAGTGCCCCGCTTCTCAGAGCACCACTCCACAGTGCTATGTGGGCTTGGTCCTCAGTCACCGAATAATCCCTTCCTTTAAGAGGGTTCAAGGTTGTTTACTCTGCCGCCACTGGAAAAATAGGGCGTATGTACATGCACTGTCTCAAGAGAGATCCAAAAGTCATTGTTTCATTAAAAAGCCAAATTGCTAGACAAGTCTGAAGAGACGAGGCAATATTAACAGTAGTTTCTTAGAGTCAGACTGGGAGTAGTTAGAAAAAAAAGACTTCCTATTTTCATTTAACATCCCACAGGGGGGTTTTAAGGCAGTAAAACTATTCTGTGTGAAACTATAATGGTGGGTGTATGAATCATGCATTTGTCAAAATTCATAGAATTGTACAACACGAAGAGCAAATCCTAATGAAAACTATGGACTTTAGTTAATAATAATGTATTAACATGGGCTTATCAATTGTAACAAATGCATAATCTGCTGAAAGATGTCAAATAATTATGGAAACGGGGGTGAGGGGGCAAGATTGGGGGGGAGATATGGGAACTCTGTACTTGCCGCTCAGTTTTTCCACAAACCTAAAACTGCTCTACAAAATAAGTCTATTGCACAAAAAAAAGAAATCTGTAGTGATTTTTCAAATGACAAGTATAATAGGTATCCATCTCATAACACAGAAAAACAAATTTTAAAACTGCTAAGAACTCTAAATATTTTAATCACGCAATTAATTAATGCAGATTCGGGAGATGAAATCAATAGATGCCATGTAATTGCAGGGCTTTCTATTATTATCAGATATTTTGCCATTTAAAGTAAGTTAACATCCAGAATACAAAAATGCACAGTATGGAGGCACTAAGAGATAATGATTATCCTATATAGGTGGGTCCTGCTTTCCATTAGTATCTATCTACACATTAGATACTACACTAGAAGTATCTATACTCTAAATCACTGTTCCTCGCCTTTTTATTCATTATCATCTCCCTAAGGCGCCTTTTTAGACATTTATTCCCCAACCACGTTCACCCATGAAGTTTTAATGCCGCCAATATGCTCACTGTTCTTTTACTCGTGTTATTATGAAGTCGCCCTCCTACATAGACATTGTTTTCCTTGTCTCTATATGGGGAGAAGGCCACTTACCTGACAAGCGTGTCAGAATATAAGAACTCATGCAACATGCTTCTTAGCATGCCATCAATACATTGTAAGCAATTGATAAATTGTAGTAAGTTAACAACTATGATGAGAAGCACTTTTGTCCTTTTACAATAAGATGGCAATAGAAGAAATGGACTAAACTGTTCCATTTCTTAAAAAAAAAAAAATAAAAAGCTGGGCTATTTCTTTTTTAAAAGTCAAAACCACCACCTATTACTACTTGAAATGTGGTTCTTCCCAAGAGCAGGCTAAAATATAGATAGGTCATTCCTATCCTTCCACAAAGTCAAGTTCAATACGTGAGTGAATGAATGAATGAATTAATCAGTCAATCAATGAATTAAATAAATAGTCACTGAAATGACTTCATCCATTACTGATAAATTCCTTGAACTACTGAAATACAGCCACTTCCTATAATATGGTTGCTACCCACAATTGATGGAGCAGTGGGGACATGAGGTAGAGATGATACTAGAAGCGTTTCAGCTTTGTTCCGTCATGCTCTAGCCCTCTTATTATAAAGAAGAGAACTGTTACTCGGATTAATATACAGTGGGAAAAAACTCTATTAGCTTTCAGTAAAAGAAGCCAGTCAAAAGGTCTCATGCAACATGATTCCATTTATGTGAAGTGTCCAGAATGGTAAATCCATAAAGACAGAAAGCAAGTTCTTGGTTGCCTAGTGCTGAGCTGGGGAGGGGAGGGTGAGGAGCAGGATGCGGACTGACTGCTAGTGGATACGGCGTTCCTTTTGGGGGGTGTTAAACGTTTTCTAAAATTAGATGTGATGGTTGCAAAACTATTTGTGGCTATATTAAAAACCGCTGAACTGTACACTTACAATAGTAAATCTTTTATGCTATGTGAAATATATCTCAATAAAGCTCTAAAAATAATATATATAAACTTTGAGCACATGTTACAACTTTTTCTTTTTCATAAATGTCAGCAGTTAAAGCTACGGGACTTGGTTCTTTAAAAGGATTTAAGAAAAATAAGCCGGCAATATGACAACCTATTACAAAACTTCCTAAAAATAGAAATTGTATCAGCATCACCAAATAGTATCTACCCCTTAATGTAATAAATCAATAGTGCCTAGATTTATCTCAAAATCATCATCTCTCATTTCAGTGATATGATTAATGATTTATACACTTCTTTTAAAATGAAATTTCTGGCTAAAATGAGGATTGTTATGACTCAAAGAAATCCTATCCAAACTTGTTATCTATTATCCTACATGCTTGGATAGCTTTTATTTCTGGCAATACTGCTCACTAGGACACCCAAAACCCTTCTGTAGTGGATGTTATGGTCCATTGCCCAGAACTTGCTCCTAAGAACTCAATTCCCCAGCTACTCGGAATGTTGGCTACTGTTGGCTCACAGCCAAAACTCAGTCCAGAAACTGCCCTCACCCAAAGCCCCCCATTACTAGGAGGGAGGTGTAGTACTACTAGCCCCTGACATGCTGTATAACAGTTAAAATTTTCACCAGCACAGTAGTTCCTCCCCCCATGGTTTTGCTTTCCACAGTTTCAGTGACCTGTGGTCAACTACGGTCCAAATACATTAAATGGAAAATTTAAGAAATAAACATTTTATAAATTTTCAATTGCATGCCATTCTGGGTAGCGCGATGAAACTTCGAACCATCCCGCTCCATCCCACGGGACATGAACCATGCCTTTTCCCAGCAAACCACTCTGTCTGTATACACTATGTGCCTGATAGTCAGTAGCCATCCTGGATATCAGATCGACTATTGTAGAGTCTCAGTGCGTGTGTTCAAATCATCTTCATTTTACTTAATAATGGCCCCAAAAGGCAGGAGTAGTGAAGCCGGCACTTTGGATATGCCACAGAGAAGCTGTAAAGTGCCCCTTTAAGTGGAAAGGCGAGTACAGTACATAAGATATTTTGAGAGACCACAGTCACCTTTCATTACAGTATATTGTTTAAGTGATCTATTTTATTACAACAGGCATACCTCATTTTATTGTGCTCGCTTTACAGCTCTTCATAGATGTCATAGGTTTATTGTGGTGGGCTGGAGCTGGACGTGCATTATCTGTGAGGTGTGCGTGTAACAGGAAGATGGGAAGATGCAGCTGCGGAAATCTCCCAGACACTGGAGAGAAAGAAGAAAAAGAAAGAAGATAAAAATCCAGGAGATCCAATATTAGATTACAGAAATTCTAGAAGAGAAAAAGGAGCCCAAGAAATTAGCAAAGAGATAATACAAGAAAATTTCCCATCAACTCCAAGAAAAACAAGTTATAGAACAAAAATGTGATCATACTCACTGTGCCTCAGATATGAATGTTACATACTTATACCCCTGGCGACACTAACCAACACTTGTGATAACTACGATAAGGGAAGGAAGTTGAGGGGGGAGAAAGAACTGATAAGGAAGGTACAAAAGAGCTAAATCCTCATTGGTTTTACTAAAAAGTCAACAGATAGTGGCTAAAACTGAAAAAATTTTTAAATGGCATAATACTGAAAAATATGGAGGTAAATACCAGAAGAAACTGCTTAAAGAATTCAAAGTAGTCGTGTAGGGGGTTAACGACCCAGGATTGAGAAAAGGTGGGCCAAGGACCAATGTTTTTCATTACATACTTTTTGCCCCATTATTTGAGGTTTTAACATTAATTAACCTTTATGAGAAACATTTTATAACATTAAGTAACATGAAATATCTCTCCATATGTTTTGACATTCTTTGATGTCTTAATTAAATTGTAAGCTTTTCTCATGGGGTCCTCTTACCCATTTCTTATTTCTTTCTGGATAAACTATATTTTTGGTTACAATTACATACAACACTATAAAAATTTGTTTTGTAACTGGTTGTTGCTAGTTGGTTTATGTACTTTTTTATTTGAAAGAATACTTGCTTTTAATTTTCTTAAATCCACTGATAGTAGAAACCATTTTCATGATCTTTATATTTAGCATCGTGCCCCATCCACAGTAGGTAGAAATGAACTATTTAACCAATAATAGGTAACACTGACAGAGCACGGTGTGTCTCACACTAAACTAAGCAATTTATAATCTCTAGTCTTCACAAGACCTTTTTCTTAAATTGAGGTATAACTGACAAAACATTACATTAGTTTTAGGTGTACAACATAATGCTATTTGTATATATTGCAAAGTGATCACCACAATAAGCCTAGGTTAACATTCATCACCACACAGTTACAAATTTCTTTCTTCTGATGAGAATTTTCAAGATCCACTCTCCTAACTACTTTCAAATGTGCAACACCATATTATCAACTATAGTCGCCATGCTGCACATTACATCCCCAGGGCTTATTTATTTTAGAACTGGAAGTTTGTACCTTTTGACCCTTTTCACCCATTTTGCTCACCTGCCACCCCCTATCTCAGGCAACCACCAATCTGTTCTCTATATCCATGAGCTTGGTGGTTTTGTTTTGTTAGATTCCACGCGTAAGTGAGATCACTGGCATTTATCTTTTTCTGTCTGACTTGTTTCACTTAGCATAATGCCCTCCAGGTCCATCAGCATTGTCGCAAATGGCAAGAGTTCATTTGTTTTTATGGCTGAATAACATTTGTGAGTGCGCGCGCGTTTGTGTATCTCACATCTTCTTTATCCATTTATCTATCAATGGACATTTAGTTGTTTCCATGTTTTGGCTACTGTAAATAATGCTGCAATGAACATAGGGCTGCACATGTCTTTTTGAAATAATGTTTTCATTTCCTTTGGATAAATCCCCAAAAGTGGAATTACTGGGTCATAATGTAATTCTACTTTTAATTTTTTGAGGAACCTTAATACTGCTTTCCATAGTGGCTGTACCAATGTATATTTCTACCAACAGTGCTCAAGGGTTCCCTTTCTCCTTGTCCTCACCAACACTTGTTATTTTTTGCATTTTTGATGATAGCCATTCTAACAGGTGTGAGGTGATATCTCCTTGTAGTTTTGATTTGCATTTCGCTGACGATTAGTGATGTTGAGCATCTTTTCATGTAACTGTTAACCATCTCTGTGTCTTCTTTGGAAAAAAGTCTATTCAGATCCTCTGCCCATTTTTTAATCAGACTTTTTTTTTTTTTGCTATTGAGTTGTATGAGTTCTCTGTATATTTTGCATATTAACCTCTTATCAGATACATGATTTGCAATCTTTTCTCCCATTCAATAGGCAACCCACAACCTTTTAAGGAAGCATATAATTTAGGCAATGAGGTAGTCTGTAACAAACTAACAGCTGTAACAAAGAAATACAAAAATACAAGGGCTTCAATAAGACAGAAGTTTATTTCTCTCTCACGTAACAGTTCAAAGGGAAGTGAGTAATCTAGGGTGGGTAAACAGCTCTACCCCAGGAAACGGGGTAGCTCGCTGGTTCTGTCATCTTCATCATTTAGTGCCCATCTCTGGATCCAAGGCTGCTGCTTCATTTCCTGTCATTTCCCAGCCAAAGAGCAAACAAGGAAACGAGGACAACCAGGGCAAATGACTTTGTCTTTAAGACGACCCCAAAAGTTGCCCACATCTCTTCCTTTCACATCCCAAAGTCCCCAACTTAGTGCCAGGGCCCCGTGATGGTGCATCTAGCTGGGAAATACAGCTAGTTGGGTGGTCACGGGTTAGTTCACACTTGGGAATAGTAGTCCTCAAAAGAAGAAAGAAAAGAGTGGCTACAGGGATCCAGTTTGCAGTCTTTGTTTGTATTATCAAAGATAGAGGGTGGGAGATGACTCAGTGCAGAGTGAATATAACTGGTATATCCTATAGTCTACATGAGTCCAGTTTAGTTTGAGAAAACTATTAATTATGTTGTCAAGGACACAAATATAATGCAATAAAATTAAAGAATAAGTGACCCTTTCAAAATCTGAAAGTATCTATTTGTCAGTGAGGTTGCTTCTGACAACTGATACATATGCCTTTTGAGTTACTATATATAATGCAACGGAATATGGTATCTGCTCTCAGAAATCCATGAAAGAACATAATATATATTATGTTTCTAGTCTAAAAATAAATATTCAAACCCACATGACTGACAATATTTGGAATGCTCATATTATATCAATGGACCTTGTTGCCAATGATATATAAATAGTCACACATTAAGCCTAGATAAAAAAATAATACCCATCATGAACTGAGTCCCTACTGTGTACCTGGCACTGCACTAGCTACTTTACATATTTTATTACTTTTCATCCCAACAACTCTGCACGCTATTATTTTATGGTACAGGTGACTTTTAAGAAATGAACACTCAAAAAAATAATAAATAAAATAAAATAAAATAAAGAAATGAACACTCAGGGCCGGCCGAATGGCGCGTTGGTTAAGAGCTGGCTTGGGACACCAGAGGGCCCCGGTTCGGATCCCACATATGAGGGCCAGTGACACTGCCCTTTACAGCTAAGATGCTGAACAACAGCTCGACCTGGAGCTGGACTGCCATGAGTCACCCGCGATGGCGTAGGCTGCAGCCCCTGTGGCAGTGGGTTGCCATGGGCTACCATGTGTAGCCAGCAGCCAGCGTGAGCGGCCAGCAGCTGCAGTGAGCGGCCGTCCAGAATCCAGTGACTGATCTGCCTCGCCCGGGAAGAGCGCAATGATGGTGCCAACTTGGGCCAGTGAAGCAACATCCTCCACAACTAGACTGAAGAACAAAACGACAGCAACTTGTCTGTTCCCCTTCCCCCAATTCCCCAGCGCTGTCCCATCCCCCAATTCCCCAATAAAAATCTTTAAAAAACAAAAAAAGAAATGAACACTCAGAAGGAGTTGAGTAACTTGCCCAATATCACACAGTTCATGCAACAGAGCCAGGATAAGAGTCAAATATAATTCACTTTCAAAAAAACGAACTTGGGGGACATATTTAATTTAGCTCATTCAAGAGTCACAGGGGCATTGTCTTAAAATACAGTCTTCACTATCATCTATCAGTACATGAATGCTGATTTACATACATAAAACATGAACAGGGGAGCGACTGGCAAGCGTGCCGTCCGGACGACGTGCTAGGTGTGTAAGCTTAGCGGGCACTGGCTGGCTGTGGCAGCATGTCTCATGTGCCCCGTTGTGGTTTAGATGAGCTGTCCCTGGACCGAGACCAAACTCCTTTTCTGGACTCCCCATTCAGTCGCGAAGCCTGGATTCTGGTCTGCCTCGCTTTACACAAACATCTTTCCTTTCAGTATTTGTGTCTTCCACGCGCCCATCTCTTGTCATGCTCCTTTTTATTTGAGGCAGACAGAGAACCCTACTGTTAACCCCCCGCCTCTTTACATTTGGGGTTAGCCCACAAACAGTTAGCTTATCTATCCAGCTGTGGAACAGGGCATTATGCGTTGTTATACCACTTTGTCTAAGAGGGAGAGGCATCATCAAACTTCTGAGAAGGGACGAATAGAATGAAAATGACTAAAAGTTCTTAAACTTAGGAGGAAAGAAAGTGAGATAAGCATAATTCTATAAAGATGCTGAGGACACAGTGGGCAACGGAAGAGGTTCTGCCCTCACACAGCTGTTGCCCTCCAGATCCGAGCCTTAGCTTGTGGGCACTTGTGACACACTGCCTGCCTCCAAACACTCACGACACTTGACACTTAAGTAGCTCTTTAGAATGTTATAAAATGCTCTCTTAGCATCTTATTTGAGTCTCACTGCAACAATCAACAACAGGAATAACCATCCACCCCTTTACTAAGGAGAAGGCAGATTAAGAAAAACTACATGTCTTGCTCGGAGTGACACAAGTATTAAGAAGAGGAGCCAAGATGTAAGCCCAGGTTTTCTGGCTCCAACTCAACTACGCGTAAGGTCTCTGAGGAAAACGGAGTCTGGTTTCTGTCAAGTGAATTTAGAGCTCAATTCAACGTCTGAAAAGCACGCTTCATAGCCCATACATCACACATACATGCAGTCATGGCAAGCAAGGCAGTGGTCAGACGACAAAAGCGGTCAGCAAGGGACAAGCATAAATTCTAAAGAACGAGGCATGGCAGCAGGCCTGAGACGTTCCTAGTCCCTTGTCCTCAGGCCAGACCCCATTTCCCTCCCACTCTCCAGTACAAGTCTCGCCACACAGTCTGAATACATAACTGAACT